TATATATATATATATATATATATATATATATATATATATATATATATAACAAATTTAAAGGGTCTGTTAATTCTGATATTTTTCTTTACTAATCATTTTGGATTTTTTTCTTTGAATTATTGAACAGGGAAGATACTTAAGTATAGAAGATTTTTGCTCTAATTTGAGTGAAATAAAAGTTTATTAGTGTGAGGCAAACATAACTCATTTGAGGATAAAGTTTGTGTTGGATATGTGGTTTCTGAGGCATTTTGACTGGTCTTTTTAAATGCTTTATCTTTTTCTTTAAAGATTTATTTCAATAAAACTAATTGGGACCACCAGTATTTCACTAGGACCTGGGTAGTACTTGGCAGAGCAGCAGCAATCCTGCTGTGTTTTATATAACGTGCATCCTTGGGCAAGTTGTCCTTAAATCTTACACTGTGGTGAAGGGATGATTTTTTTGTAATGCTGCAATAGAGTTGGAGTACTTAGCTCTGTTCTTATCTAGTATGTCTAATAAATGTATCATATTATTTCCACATAGGGGGAATAAGGGAGTACTTTTCTTTTTATATTTCTATGCTTAAAATTATCTTTCCTAGTCAAAAAATGCCCAACTCTGTGTCTGCTTTCTGCTTGTTAAGGCTTTTTTCCCTGACTTTTCTTGGGCTAAAGACAGGCTTTTTCAATTATGCTGTCATCATTAACAGCATAATTATGCAAGCATATTTAACGCTGTTTAATTTAATATGTAATACATATGGTAATTGTGGGGTAATATGCACAACAACTGTAGTTTCTTACTTGGCCATGAGAATGCTTTTTTAAGTTCCACTCTGGCAAATCTTGTCATATCAAAAGATATTGGAAAGAGGGATTCCCTTTGGTGTTTAATCTTCCACTTAGAAAATACCTATTGCAGATTACGTCAGGCGTGCCGGGTAGGGCTGGATCTCCGGACTGGAAGCTGGGCGCTTCCTGTGGGTGTTCGCTGTTCAGAATCTCTCCACCGGGTTGTAGAATTCGGACATCATGGCAGAGATAATTCAGGAACGCATAGAAGAACGGCTCCCAGAATTGGAACAGCTGGAGCGCATTGGACTGTTCAGTCATGCGGAGATTAAGGCTATCATTAAGAAGGCTTCCGATCTAGAGTACAGAATCCAGTGAAGAACCCCTTTCAAGGAAGACTTTATCAATTATGTTCAATATGAAATTAATCTTCTGGATCTGATCCAGAGAAGAACACGCATTGGATATTCATTTAAGAAGGATGAGATTGAGAATTCTATTGTACACCGGGTACAAGGTGTTTTCCGAAGTGCCTCAGCAAAATGGAAAGATGATGTTCAACTTTGGCTCTCCTATGTGGTTTTTTGTAAGAAGTGGGCTGCTAAAACTCAACTTAGCAAGGTATTCTCTGCCATGTTGGCCATTCATTCCAACAAACCAGCTTTGTGGATTATGGCAGCCAAATGGGAAATGGAAGATGGATTGTCTTCAGAAAGTGCAAGGCAACTATTTCTTCGGGCACTGCGCTTTCATCCAGAGTGCCCAAAACTTTATCAAGAATACTTTAGGATGGAGCTGATGCATGCTGAAAAACTGAGGAAGGAAAAGGAAGAATTTGAAAAAGCCAGCATGGACATGGAGAATCCTGATTATTCTGAAGAAATCCTTAAGGGCGAGTTGGCACGGATCATCTACAAAAATTCTGTAAGCATAATTAAAGATGCAGAATTTCACATGTCACTGCTTTCAATTGCACAGCTATTTGACTTTGCCAAATATCTACAAAAAGAAATTTATGATGACCTTCAGGCTCTACACACTGATGATCCTCTCCCTTGGGATTATGTGGCAAGGCGAGAATTAGAGATTGAGTCACAGACAGAAGAGCAGCCTACGACGAAACAAGCCAAAGCAAGTACAGGTTGGCTGGAAGGAGGAGAGGTGCTGTGCTGTATATGAAGAGGCAGTGAAGACTCTGCCCACAGAGGCCATGTGGAAGTGTTACATAACGATTTACCAAGAAGACAAATAGTGGATTCCTCAGAGGGAAGAGGCTGGAAAGAACCATGACTGCATTCAGGAAGGCACATGAACTTAAGCTTCTGCCAGAATTCCAATACAAGCCTTGCTGAGTCATAACTTCCTGAGAGAAGCTCTGGAGGTGGCAGTAGCTGGAACTGAATTGTTTAGAGACTCTGGGACAATGTGGCAGATGAAGATGCAGGTGCTAATTGACTCAAAGAGCGCTGACATAGCCATGCAATTTGAAGAATCCTTTGTGCACCTCAAGCCCCAGGTTTGTCTGTCATTGTGGATTTCTTGGGCAGAGTGGAGTGAAGGTGTCAAAAGCCAAGAGGACACTGAGGCAGTCTTTAAGAAAACTCTGTTAGCTGTCATTGGTGCCGACTCAGTAACCCTGAAGGATAAGTACCTGGATTGGGCTTATCGAAATGGTAGCTACAAAAAGGCCAGAGCTGTGTTTAAAAGTTTACAGGAGAGTCGTCCATTTTCAGTTGACTTTTTCAGGAAAATGATTCAGTTTGAAAAGGAGCAAGAATCCTTCAATATGGGAAATATAAGAGAATATTATGAGAGAGTTTTGAGAGAGTTTGGATCTGCAGATTCTGATCTTTGGATGGATTATATCAAAGAAGAATTGAACCACCCCCTTGGTAGACCTGAGAACTGTGGACAGATCTGGTGGCGAGCGATGAAAATGTTGCAGGGAGAGTCAGCAGAGGCATTTGTAGCTAAACATGCTATGTATCAGACTGGCCATTTGTGAAGAGGAAGAATACAGCCAGCTTTGTGAAATAGTACTGCAAGCAAGCCCTGTGAGCAAATTTGTATTATGAGTCCATCTGAATTTGCTCAGTGATGGCAGACAAGATGGCTGTCTGGTTTCGAGATACACTTTAATTTTATGTTAGCTTGTTAGTCTTTTTTAAAAATTAAAAAAAAAAACTTGTGATAAAAAAAGAAAATACCTATTGCAGTTAGAATTAATCTTGTAGTATCCATCTTTGTATTTTGAAGATAATAAGGTTTGAATTAAATTGATATACACAGAGGGGAACCCAATTTTTTGATCCAATGTAAATTATACATGAGATAATCCACAGTTATTCATTGTGGAATTGTTGAGACTATGAAAGACTCATTGTCTTTGTATTCAGCTCTTCCTTAAATACTGTAACAATACCCCCACCTCTGCTTGCTTGCTTTCCCTTCCCTCCAATGACAAAGAAAATGAGAAATTTAAAAAATATATAAAATTAAATAAATAAAAAATAAAAAATAAATTGACAACCTAATGTCATACATCAAGGCATTAGAGAAACTAAAACAAAACAAACCCACCCCCATTATTCATAACTAGGCAGGCAACACCTGCTAGAAAATAAACAAAGAGCAGAACAGAACTAAATAAAACTGAATCAAAAAAAAAAACACAAAAGATCAATGAAGTAAAAAATTGGCTCTTTGAAAAAAAATGCTAAATTGATAGACCATTACCTAGATTAACCAAGAAAAGAAGAGAAAACATTTAAATAAGCTCAACTAAAATTAAAAAATGATGAAATTACAACCAACACCAAAAAAATATACAAAATCATTTGAAATTACTATGAGCACATCTATGCACAAAAATTAGAAAATCTAGAGGGAAAAGAGCCAAGCTAGCAGACTAAAAGCAGCTCATGTGTGCTGCTGTTATGGAAAGAAAACCAGAGCTAGTGAACCTGAGCCTTCAGGCTGATCACCTGAGAAACCATGCCAGGATTTATCATGGCAACAGGGAAACACAGAAGAGAGAGTAATGAAGCTGGACACCAGCCTGTCTCACCTCAGCACAGGGCCAGAAGAACCTCTCCAAAATGAGAAAGGGTAAGTGGCAGAGATCCCCAAGGGAATTCACAGTCTCCACAGGGACCTGTGCAAGACTGGGAATGAGAAAATTACCATGTCCTGCCCCCTTACCTCCCCACCATGATTTTAGACTGAGGCAGAGAGCTACTCAGACATTTTGTGGGGGCAACTCCTGAGTACAATCATATCCCCAGTGGCTTTGGGCCCCAGAGGATACCAGCACTGGTGCCTCGGCCCCAGTAAACATTGTAGTTGTGGTGCTAGGGAGCACTAACACTGCTTTACCACCACTAGCCAACCAGAGCTCAGTGTCAGCTCTGGCCCAGCAGTTCTGCTTTGGCTCAAATTCAGTAGCAACCCCTCCCCATTCCACCACTGGTAGCTAGCTCGTAACCACTTGCTAGAGCCCCTAACCCAGTGATCCTACTCAGGTAAACTCAGCTGAAGAGCACCGCCTACTGTTGTCACATGAAACACCTGGATGGCAGGGCATGAACTCCATCCCCACTCCCATGGCCCTATTGTTTGTAGCCAGGCAGTCAATGTCTTGCAGAGCCTTTGGCCTAGTGACCCAGTTGTTGTGTGAGCTCAGCTGGAAGATGCAGCTCCTTGTTGTCACAGTAAACATCAGAAGGCAGAGCATGAGGCCCAATCTGCCCATGCCACTGGTAGCCTAGCAGGCAACCTCTTCCAAAGCTTCAAGCCCAGCACTCTTGCTTCTTTGTAAACTCACCTGGAGGATGTAGCTTTCTATTGTCATGGGAAACACCCCAACAGTAGGGCAAGAGACTCCACTCACCCCACCACTTGTAGCCAGGCAAGCAGTGCCTGATGGAGCCCCTGGTCCAGTGGCCCTGATTCTTTGTGAGCTCAGCTGGAGGATGCAGCTTTCTGTTGTCACAGGAATCACCAGATGTCACAGCATGAGAGTCCACCTACTCTTGCCACTGGCATATGAAATTTCCTAGGGGTTCTAGACCAGAAGCCTTGCTTCTTTATTAAATCAGCTGCAGGACACAGTTTCCTGTTGTCATGGGAGACATCTATATGGCACACCATGAAACCCCACCTACCCCTGCCTTGGTAGTCAGGAAGACAACACCTGCTAGAACCTCTGGTCCAGTGATGCCACTTCTGTGTGAGCTCAGCTGGAGGATGCGTCTTTCTCATATCATGGGAAAAACCTAGATGGCAGACCCATCCATGCCACTGGTAACCAGGTGGGTAATGCCTCATAGAGTTTCTAGACCAGCAGGCTTTCTTCTGTGTCAGCTTGGCTGAAGGATTCAGCTTCCTGTCTTCCTGAGAAACACCTGGATGATAGGACATGTAACTATACCCACCCCCATTATTCATAACTAGGCAGGCAACACCTGCTAGAGCTTCTAGCCCAGCAATTATATGTCTAAGTTTGCCAGAGGCTGCAATTCCCTGATGTTCTGGAAATAGCCAGACAGCAGAGATGACAACCCAATCCACCTGCTGTAGCCAGATGAGTTTTTAACCCAGCAAACCAAATTCCACCTGAAGTCTGTGGGTGATACAACGCCACGTTTCCCCAGGAAGCACATGGACAGCAGATTAGGGTCAATCTGCCAAGGACATGACTTGTCAACAAAGTGCAGTCCCAGCATGAGGGAGCCTCATGGATGAAAATGCCCAACAAAAGCAACCAAAAAAAGGCAGACATGGAAACAGTAATTGAAAGGGGTTCCTCCAAGATCCAAAACCAGACTGTAATTGAAGCTAGTTAAGCAAACCCATCTTATTCCATAACCAAACCCTCAAGATCATCAGAGAAGAAAAAGACAAAACAAACTATCCCAAAAACTGCATCTTTAAAGACTGAACAAACATTAGCCTAAAAGTCAGAAAGAACCATCACAAAAACTCTGACAACTCAAAAAGTCAGAGTGCTTTTCCCTCCCCCCAAAAGACTACATAAACAAAGGAGAAGATTCTTTCAAAACAAACAAATGCTGAAGGAATATGATACCACCAGATCTGCTTTATAAGAGCTCTTGAGAAAAAGCACTAAACATAATTTTTTTAAAAGGCCATTACAGGCAACTACAAAAATATACTTACTTACACAAATCAGTGACACTATAAAGCAACCACACAAACAAGACTGTATGATAACCAGCTAACAATATGATGAGAGCACGAAATTCACACATATTAATACTAACCTTGAATGCAAATGTGTTAAATCCCTTCTATTAAAAAGCACATAGTGGCAATCTATTTTTAAAAAATCTAATACTCATAGAATGCTGGCTTCAGGAAAACCATCTCACATTCAATGATATCCATAGGCTCAAAAGAAAAGGATGGAGAAAAATCTACCAAGCAAATGGAAATTATAAGATAAGGCAAGTTTTGCAAATCTAATTTTAAACAAAACAGATATTAAACCAACAAAGGTCAAAAAATAAAATGAAGGGTATTATATTACGCTAACGGACTCAATTTCACAAGAAGAACAAACTATTATAAATGTATATACACCCAACTAGGAACACCCAGACTTATAAAGTAAGTTCTTAGAGGCCTACAAAGAGACTTAGAGTCACAAACAATAATAGTGAAAGTCTTCAATACCCCGTTGAGAGTATTAGACAACAAATTACCAAGGAAGATAATTTACAAAAAGATTCAGACGCTAAGTGAAACACTTGACTCAATGGACCTAAAAGATATTTACAGAACTCTCCGGACAAAGACAACAGAGCATGCATTTTTTTTATTGCCACATGACAAATACTCTAAAATTGGCCAGGCATTTGAATATAAAATAATTCTCAGCAAACTCAAAAATAAATTAAATAAATAAATACATAAAATTATAGCAACCATACTCTGAGACCACAGTGGAATAGAAACAGAAATAAAGGCTAAGAAAATCACTCAAAACCACATTACTACATAGACATTAAATAACATACTCCTGAATGACTCTTTGGTAAATAATGAAATTAAGGTGAAAATCAAGAAGTTATTTACATCTAATGAGAATGAAGGTAACACAACATACCAGAATCTCTGGGACACAGCTGAGACAATATTAAGAAGGAAATTTAAACTAATTGTCCACATTAAAAATTCTTTTAAAGTCTCAAATTAACTAGCTAACAAGGCAACTACAAACAGAGAAATAAGAGGTCATCAACCCCAAAACTAGTAGAAGACAGGAAAAACAAAAAATCAGAGCTGAAATGAGGGATACTGATACATGAAAATCTATAAAATTGTCAGAAAATTTAACAGTCAGTCCTTTGACAAAATTACTAATGTATATAGACTACTAGCTAGACTAGTAAGAAAAGAGAGGAAATTAAAACAACATAATTTAAAATGACAAAGGGGACATTACCACTAATCACACTGAGATACAAATGATCGTTAAAATCTATGAACACCTTTATGCAGACAACTAGAATACCTAGAACAGATCAATAACGAACTGCAAACTTTAATTAGTAACAAATAGCCTGCCAACTCAAATAACCTATGATCAGGTGAATTCCCAACCAAATTATGCCACGTGTACAATGAAGATCTGGCATTATTCTTACCGAAGCTGTGTCAGAAAATTGAAAAAGAAAAACTGAGTCCAAACTCATTCTATGAGTCCCAATTCATTGCATCATACTAAGAATCTGGGAAAAATACAACAACAACAAATTTCAGGCTGATAGCCTTAATAAATATGAAAGCAAAAAATCCTCAATATAACACCAGAAAACCGAATTCAGCAGCACATGAAAAAGCTATCCCACCACAATCAAGTAGGCTTTATCCATGGCATGTAAGGCTGGTTCAACATTCACAAATGTTGTATGATTGAATCACAAATCAATAAATGTGATTCATCATATAAACAGAACTAAAAACAAAAACCACATAATTATCTTAATAGATGCCAAAAAAGACTTTGATAACATTCAAAATTCCTTAATGTTAAAAACCCTCAATAAGCTAGGCATTCAAGAAACATACTTTTTTTTTCCCCATTTATTTATTTTATTGCATTTTAGGTTTTGGGGTACATGTGAAGAACATGGAAAATTGTTGCATAGGTACACACGTGGCA